CCCCCAGTGAATTTTAGAGAAATTGGTCACAATAGTAGAAAATTTGGTAAGTCAATAACTAGTTATATATCTTCCAAAAACTGTTAATTTAAAAAAAAATGTGCTGGTATGTATAACAATCAATATAAAGTTTGAAAAAAGTTGTAACACTTTAAAAAAAAATATCAGTGATTTTTTGAAGAGATTTTGTCAAAATTGGAAGGTAGAGCCGCGATGGCTAAGGGGATAGAGCGTTATTTCAAAACTTATGTATTTATTTAAACTAACCAATATGAATAATAGCTAATTTATTCCTTCTGCCAAACCTTTAAATGTGACTGTACACTTATGAAACAAAAATGTTAATTGAATAGAAGGGAATGTATACACATTTTCTCTCTAATTTTTGATGTACTTTGTTTTTCAGAATAAATAAAAGAGTATTGAACACCTAACAAAATTGAAAATAATTTGTGATTTTCTAGTGTTTCTTAAATATTTAATGTTTTTTTTCTCCGTCGTATGCTTGTTTAGGCAGTGGGGGTGCGATTGTTCCTGTTTCTCAGTGGCGCCATCTATGGCCAGGAATTGGACTTCTGCCACGCCATTCACACAACCACAACCCGTTTATAGGGAGGGTCACATTCACACACAAAGGAGAAAGGACATAGAACACTGAGAGAGAGAAAGAAACATCCATGCCTTCCCCGGGATTCGAACCCAGGACCTTTCTGATGCAAGGACAGTCCGGTCGGCAATGTTTACTGTTGAGCAAGACATAAAGCTGCAGGTTAAAAAAATTAATTTGTCAAAAATGGTTTAGGATTACAAACTGGCTCATGTAACACATAAGTAAATATTTCTTAATAATTCATGTTTAAATAAACCATTTCTTTATTCGAAGCCAATTTCAACATGCGTGTGAATTAAGTTCTCCAGCAAAGTTCATCTGCTAAAGATAGGAAAGTAATCACTACATTTAAAAAAAAAATGTAGCTGCAGTTAGCTACATTTATAATAAAGCAGCTGTAGTTAACAACAAAAGTGTAGTTTATTGGATCACTGTATATGTAAATACACTTTTATAAGAATTTATAATTGGAAAAATTAAATCTGCTTCTGTTTTGTGATTTCAATTGAAAGTAGTTTTTTAAATTTAAATCTGTTATTCTTAAAATCTGCTATGATCAAACAAAGATTTTTAAAATTCGTAAAGTAAAATTCAGCGCATCAAATCTCAATTCTATTGTTGCATTTCAACAAAATGCTCGATCTGTTCATTTTTGCTCCAAAATTAACAGTTGATAATTTTCAAATTAACTCTTTTTTTTTTTTATTCTAATGTGTTTCTTATCACATTATTCTATACATCTTCATGGTGTATTTTTTTTAAAGTTTTATAATTTTTGTGTGACAATACAAAATACATCGTACAGCAAAAAAGTGAGTCGAATCTGTAAAAAAGAATGTAACATTGATATAATTTTCGAAAAAGTTGGAGTTTAGGAAAAAAAAAAACTCAAAGTTCAAAAACAAAAATGGCTTTTTCAGCATGCCAAATTTCACCTCTGTAGCTGCAGCTATGTGGCCTGCACAGATTTAATGTAATTATTTTTTTTTGTCTTCAGAAAATTATTCATTTTTCGATATGTAATTTAGAAAATTTAACACAAATTTTTACTTTTTAATTTTTTACACATTAAATATAGACACATATTTTTATAAATGGGATTTTTAAATTTTGAATGTGTTCTAACTTTTTTTAAATTAAAATATTATTTGATTTTTCTCAAAATTATATTTTATTCATGCTTGCTTGTTATTAAGTTTCAGATAAACTACAGAATAGAGTCTTGTTTAATATGGCATAAAAAATTGTAAAAATATTGAAATATCATTATTTTAGTGGTTCATTTTAGACATTTATCGTTTCAGTTCGAGTATTTTTAACTAGAAATATATAAATTTTAGCAGATTATATTAATAACTTTTTTTAATGTTAATAAACATTACACAATATTATATTATTAATATTTATGATTATGAAATACAGCATTTTTCGCTTCGCTGAAAGTAAAATCTTCCAAATGCACCCCACTTCCAAACAATTATTTTCAAATTTGCACTTATTTGCATATATTTAGATCAAGGAGAAACAATTATTCATCATTGATATTACTTTAATTTATAAAATCAATTATTTATAAATTTTTAAATATGAATGAAAAAACGATTTAAAAAACTGCTTCTGTTTTTTGACTTTATATTTTAATCGTATTATATTTCCGATAATCTTACAAAGTTTGTTAGTAACTATTAGACTGTTTTTTTATTTATTTATTTATTTATTTTTTGTTTTTTTTATAATTAAAAAATACTAAGATATATTTTTACTTTTTATTAGAGTCAGAATATATATATACAGGTTCCTTCATAATTCCCTCCCAGGGTTCAAAGCGTTATAGTAAAGAAAAATGGCGTTTACAGGAGGAGGGAATTATGAATAACCATGTATAAAGAAGTAATTATGCATGATTAGGAACTTCTCTTACTTATAAAAATTAATAATAGTTCAATTTTTAAACTTTTCTGTATTTTCTTAACGATTAATTGAAAAATATTAATGATTTCTAATTACGATAACTCATATTTTACGATTTAAGGCAAATATCATATTTTATTCATTGACTTTGTCCTGATATAACTGGAAGTATTGACTGAGCGTAGTAAACAGCTTCAACCATTGTTTACCTAGAGAGCACACTACCAACAGAAGCATTATTGTTTTTAAAACAATCCATTTTAATGCAATGAAACTGCCCTATATGCAATACTATAATTGCTGATCTAGTTCTACCATGATTAATCTAATAAAGAAATTTTAATCTTGTAATCTTTCCCGAACTGTTTAATTAAAAAAGTGCCGACAATTTTTAGAATCTGGGTTTAAAACCACACATTGGAACTCCTGTTCGAATTTCGGGACGATACCATAATCATTACTGAATATGTGAGAAAACCACAAACTCTCTTTTTTATTACTCTGGACAATTTTAAATCAGTTTTACCTCTATTACAATTCTCATTACAAATATTATGAAATAAATTATATTTGCAACTAAAGCACATATTTTTACTTATAAAAAATTAAAATATACTTCTGACTTTGCAAGTTATTTGAAATTCTTTTTGCGAAAGAGTGTGGCTAATCAATATCTCGGAATACGAAGACCGATTTAAAAAGAAGTTCACAAGTTATCATCATGCTTCATTAAAAGAAAGATTAAAATCAAATCTTTTATAAATCATGCATATTTACTTACAGACTGCTATTTTGCTTACTGACTTAAAAATTTCTTTATTGCTTTATAACATCGGGATTAAAATAATATAACAATTTCTTTTCATATTATTGTTCTTAAATTTTTAGGGAACTTTATAAAACGTACAAAGAAGTTTCATAATGAACGAAATTGATTGAATTAAGAAATGTTCTTTCAAAAGGAATTGGATTACATTAAATTCTTTATTTGCTGTTAAAACCTAAAGGGATTTATTTTTACTTGTCTCCATATAACATCAAACATATTTGAAATTATAATTTGATTTGGTTCGTTGAATTTCCTTAAATTCTGTAAAACTAAAAGATAAAAAATAACTCTAATAGTATTTTATAGTAATAGGAAACTAAATTTTATAAAAGAAATATTAAGAAATTTTATTTTTTGAATATTAAATATCTCAGAAATTATAAATTCTTTCTAAAATTCATATTTCGTTATAACTCTGCTATTCCTTTATTTATTCGATGCAGTGATAAAGCAGATGTAGATTCAATCCTATTTATTGTCCTTTATTCGATGAAATTTAGTTTAGTTTAATTACTACTAACAATAAATGCAAGAATAAACAACTCCCCTTAAGGGTACACTATTACGCTGCTGCGCAGATTAAATTTCATCGTTTTCACTATAACAATATAGTGAAAACGATGAAATTTAAATTAATTCAAATATTAATAATGATAAATTTAAAGATTAAATAACTCAGATATTATAAATTCTTTCTAAAAATATTTCGCTATAATTCTGCTAGTTCTTTATTTATATACTGCAAGTACATGATAAAAATATTGTGCAAAAGAGGAAATGAAAATTAATTTAATTACTAATCATAAATGCAGGTGTATGATATAAATATAGTGAAAACGATGGAATTTAAATTAATTTGATCATTAATAATAATAAATACAAGTGTATGACAAAAATATAGTGAAAATGATGAAATTTAAATTGATTTAAATACTAAAAATAAATTTCAATATTACATATCTCAGAAGTTATATATTTCTTCTAAAAATAGATAGTTCTAACTTTGCAATTTATTTATTCGCTGCAAGTGTGTGATAAAAATATAGTGAAAGCAATGAAATTCAAATTCATTTANTTAAATTCCTAAGTTTATACCCCAAATTAAAAATATCTGTGTTCCATTAAAATTTTATTTATTTAAAAAAAAGGGGCCCCCAAGGTAGTGACATAGTTTTTTTAATGTTTGTAATGTATCATTGTCTCCGATTACCCCCCAGGTGGAACCGTCTCATTGCAAAGAAACAAGCTCAGGGTTCTCATTGATTTAACGTTCTAGTAAATTAAAATCTTAAATCACTTAATATTTATTTTTTGGTGCAACTGTATTTTATTTTGAAGGCATATTTAAATGTAATTAAATTAAAATTAATAAATCGAAATAATCTAAATATATATAAGGGACACCGGTGTCTTATCTGCGTTAAAGGGTTAAAAAAGCACAGCTCTATTTCATGAAAGTTATGATTATTTATGTATTTAGTTATCATAAAAGGATGAAAATGTTCCCTCAAGTTAAAACTTCGTGCCAAAATTTTAAGGTTTTTTCCTCCCGATATACCCTTTTAAAAGCCATCATAGAAAAAGTCGGCGTAAATGCAATAAAGCTGAAAACAAATAACAAGGACTTTATGCTTTTTTAGCCATGATAAATAAGCAATTAGATCGAAATCGTTCGGAATAACCTGCTGACCTTCATCTTCTTTCTGATCATGAGAGCAATCTATAGTTGAAATTAAACAGAGTTGTAAGTTCACTTTCCTATTCGGACACACAACAGAACTTTACGTCTGTAACTTGTACTTCCGTGTAAGCAATAAAAATCAAAGAGCTTTAGTGTCGGGCTAGGAGAGAAATAGAAAATCATGCCTGTGTTTAATCAGATAATAAGTGATGTTTCGCCTCAAATTTTATCAGCTCTTATCACCTAATTCAATTTCATCCCACTCATCTCATGTGATAAGTTGACGGCGGTTGAACGAAATTTTGGATGTTTATGTTACGGAACATTTTGGATGATCAGAGCATTCGAATCGAAAGACGAAAACTTCCTTTTGTGTTGGAACAATATCTGTAAGTTATGAATTACTTTTTTAAGTTCTAAAAGTTCTGTTTGTTCGTATACTTACGATAGCCAATTGTATATATAACAATATAGTTTAAATCCAATTTTATGTATTTAAATCTGTGAAATAGATAAGATTTTTTTTTTAATTGTGATTTTCCTTTTTTATATTTAAATTCTATTCTGTTTATGGGTTTTAAAAGATTTAGAGATTTAAATATTTATCTTTTAGTGAAATTAGAAAATACTTTTGTATTTCGAATTATAAGCAGTTAAGACAAGTTTTCTTCTATTTTTTTTAGTAACGGAAATAATTTTTCGAATTTCATTGAACATTTACGAGATTAAAATCAACACCAAAAGCATAATTTTTAGATCATATTTTCCAGTAAAAGAAAGTTTATTATGATGTTCGTGGAATTACGATAGCTCGTTGTATGTATAATGATATTATAGTTTAAATCCAATTTAATATATCTAAATCTGCGTAGCTGATAAGATTTTTTTTTTTAAAATTGCAATTTTCTTTTGTTTATATTTAACTTTAATTCTGTTTATGGATCTTATAAGATTTAGAAATTTGAATAGATATCTTTTAATTAAATTAGTGAAATACTTTAGTACTTCAAATTGTAAGCAAAACAAGTTTTATTCTGTTCCTTTTATGAATAGAAACATTTTTGGAAGTTAGAATCAACAACAGTATAATTTACCGATCGTATTTTCGAGTAACAGTTTGTTCTACTTTATTAGACAAATTCGGATATAATAATTTTAATAATAATAATTTAACCCTTTTTGCGGCCGTATTAAGTTTATACATGGGTGTCATGCTGGTCGGAATTTCGATTTCACGGTTCACTTCTTTTAGTTAATTACTTTTTGCCATTTTATTAGGATATTATTTTAAAATATTTTAAGAAGCGAAAATGCCTAATTACACAAAACACTATTCATATAATATTATTTCGAATTCTACGTAACTCCAGATCTTGTCGACTTAATATAATATAAGATCAGTATGGTTCTTTGAAGTGGCGGCTGAGAGTAGACATACGACCGTAAAGGGTTAAAAACAATTCTAGATACAAATAAAGAGAGTTTAATTTTTTAAAAAAATGTTAATTAAAAGGAAGAAAGAAATTAAAGAAAGAAATTAAGAAATTAAAATTTCGTATGTATAATTCTTCCGGCTTATTTAAAGCATAAATATGTCTTAATAAGATTAATAAGTTTAAAGTCTTAATAAGATGAATATCTTTTGGCAATTTGAATCTATAAATAATTTCTTTTATAATATATAGCCAATTTACTGCACATGTTCTTGCTATTAATTGACGGCCTTATTTGAATAGTCTGCAAACTTCATCACTGTTCATTTCGAGATGTAGAACTTCTTAGAGTCTAATGGAAGCTGAGGTTTTGTTTTTCATACTTAGGCCTATTTGTGGTGCCTTCTCTTTGTAAAAAGAAATGTGTTAGAGGTGCACTAATTTTAAAACAAGATAGAAATTTAAATTATAAGTATCAACTTGAGTGATTTTTTTTAATAAATAGATTTTGTCTACTAATATGGCCTTCAATTAATATTACCCAAAGTGGTAAAAAACTGTATTTTTAATTATGACCTGCAGTTACTTAATTAATAAACAAGATAGCTAAATTCTGTTTTAATGTACTTAACCACTTTTCAGTTAAGATCTACAATTAATACAAAGTGATAGAAAGTTGTCTTTTTAATTATGACGTGCAATAACAGATAATAAATAAGATCGCTAAATTTTTTTAATGACCACTGTTTAAATTGTCTCTCTAAATTTGATGCATTAATACACAACTAATAAACTAGATAGCTGTTTTAATTTTTTTTAGCGCTGCAAATCTAGAGATTTTTTAACACATTTTTTATAGCATACGTAAAATAATAAAGCTCTAATCCAATTAAATGGAACTATACAGTAAAAACCTACACTTGTCTCTAAGATTACATTAAATTATTCCTTAGTTTTGTTTTAATATATGTTCTGTGGTAGTTTTCTGAATTACTAACTACATAATTACAAATTATAACTAAAGTTAACTTATAGTTTAGAATTTATGACTAAAAAATTACCAAAATTTGTCACTTTATTACAAAGTAGTTCTATGATAATACCTTATTGTGCAGCATTTTATGACAAATATATTTAGTTACCATTCCACAATTATTACACGACAAATATTTACTTTTTATTTCAATGAAAAATAGTTTTCAGTCATAGTTTATTATATACTAGTATTAAAATAGTGAATACAGAATAACTATTTAAAATTTCAGAACGGTATTAGAAACTAACTTCTCTCACATTTTCTACTCAACCACATTAACGATTTAAAAATAAAAATTATAAACTTTTTGTAGTAACAAAAAATTAAATAGAAATTTTAGTTTGTTTATAAAATTGTTACGGTAACTGTGAGAAATGGGTAGGTTTAATAAAATGCAAATCAGGAAATCAATCTCTGGAGCTAAACTTGTTCTAATACAATATAAATTTCCGGGATCATTTAATTGAATAATGCTTAATGAGATGAACCAGGTTCGATTCCCAGCCGTGGTTGGTTGATACAAATTTTGTTCGATGCTCGCACCGACCACAGTGCAACCGACCACAGTGTAAAATATCATCAGTGGCAGACGGATCATGGGATAGTATCCCCTAGATGGTGGGCTAACTGTGGGAGGTTTCCGTCGTTTTCTTTTCCATGTAACGCAGAGGCAGGTTAGTTTCACAAAAAGTTCTCCACGAAGACTAGGTTGCCTTAATCCAGGACTTCCCTTGCCTTCTGGGTTGGGCTCAAAATTACAAGGCTACAGGGTTGAATATTGATAGTTATTAACTTAGAATTGAGTCAGCTGTTCATCGAGGTTTATAAAATAAAAGAAACAGAAATGATTATGTTACAATCTTGGGGGTTGGAGAGCGAAGCGTATTGAGGTCTTAACGCTCTCGTGTAAATGCATTTTCTTTCTTTATTTACATGCGTCTTTACGTAATTCGATTATTTATTAAAGCTAACTTAAATTTGTACAGTTCTTTCTCAATTTCTCGTTTCTCTTTTTATGTATTCCTTCAATTAGTATAATGCTTCATTTTAATCTGTAATGTTTCCTATTTAATAAAATGAAAATTCAGACACATATTATTTAGCTAAAAATGGAAATCCATCTTCATCTGGAATTCAAGGTTAGCTTTTGTTGTCCATTTCTCTAGAAAAATTAACTGTCATTTATGCTGATGTATTAGATAGCCCGCGCAATACAATGGTAGAAAACTTTGCGTGATACGGAAAGCTTTGTAATTTTCAACACGTGAATTTGTCACAGTAAAACACGCCTTTTTCGCTAGTATTGTAAATAAATTATTTCTTCGCAATTTTGTTTTATCAGAGAATTTTTTTTAAGTAAAACGTTTAAAAACAAATTCAAAGATTTGTATTTTGATATTAACAAGGTTTTTCGAAGCTCTTTCACCAAGGGAAATAAAAATAATAAAATAGCCACAGTTTAGGTGCTTTATACTAGTAGTAGAGCCGTAATTTTAAACTGTATATATCATCTTGCTATAGAAAATTATTTGGGCTATAGAACAGAAAAACAACTAAAATATTTTGAAGGCTATTAAATTTTTTTAAAAACTCGCCAATTTGGCGATATTTTCCCATTGAGATGAAAGTTATCAAAATCAGTGCTCCATTTCCGATTTTTTGCAAATTTTCACCAACCCCGATAATGCAGCATTGGAAAATGCTTTTAAATATTAAAAACACTTTTCATTTTCTCAAAACTAATGCTTTTCTCCAAATTGATGCTCACCATATGACAGAATTAACATAGAGGGTGCTTGTTAAAGTTAAAAATCTGTCAATAAAGATTAAAATTAGCAAATTTTTTTAACAAATTTATTTCAGTTTGCTATTGAAAATGGATACAAGGAATACTTTCCCTTCAAATATATACGATTTGTAATGTAAGTCATGGTGATAGCTACGACTGAATAAAATAAATAGATTAAAATAATCGATCCCACCATTTGTGTTTTTGGAAGCAAGTGGGAGCCCGTTGTTGTCACTATATGGCACATGACAAAAACAGAGATGCTGTTGATAAATATTTTATAGAGGTAGTCTTGAATGTAGTCTGACGTAAAATATCCTAAGTGGTAGACAGATCATAGGTTATGGTCCCTTTGCTATCAGGCTAACAGTGGAAGGTTCTCTTAGTTCTCTCAATGCTACTCGAATGCAAGTAAGTTTCATCAAAAAGTCTTCCACTAAGTCAAATTTCTCCAAATAGTTGATTCAGGAATTCTCAAAGCTTTCTGGATTTGGTTCAAAATTACAATGCTACGGAGTTGAACATTGATAGTCGTAAATTCAAAATTGATCCGCTGTTAAACGACGGTTATAAAATAAAATAAGCGTGAAGTATTCCTTGATTAATTTTTTAAAGCGTATTTTATTTTCAGGTTACATAATATTTATGCAAAAGTAAAAATGACAGCGAAATGTGCAATGAATTTTTAATTCTTTTAATAATATATTATAAAAATGCATTGCGCAGATTAAATTCATAAACAATATGCGATCTTTTTCATTGTTTCTGCGAAAGCAAAGCTTTATAGATAAGAAGTCTCGATATTACTAAACTCTTTTGTTTCTCTATCTAATGACCTATTTTGCCTTCTCTTTGGTAAGTCATATCTTTTCAAAACACATTATTTCATAGTTCATTTCAAGTATTTCTACATCGCTTGTTATTTGCAAATTTGGAAACTGTTTTAAACTGAAGAAATTTGTTTACAACAATATTTTAATGATGTTTATAACAATATTTTAATAATGTATTTTATGCTAAGATTAAATATAGTGAATAAAAAAGAGTCAAATTAAGGGCAAATCAATTGTATTCGTTTAACAAACGTTAATGGCTTTATTTTGCTACATGCAGAAAAAAATTAATTTACAC